ATTAATGGGAACTGATCCCAAGATAACTCAGAGTTAGGATTTAGTGGAGAAGATTTAAAGTAGATACAGGACAAAATAAGTTTGTAATGTGTGGACAGATAATAAATCTCAACAGAAAGAAGCTTAAAAGAGTGAAATGAAAATATAGAACTAAAAACATACTAAAATAAATAGACTGAAAAGATTTAATAGAGAGGATAAGATGACAGTTTAAATAGAGATTAACAAAAGCTATCATCAGATGCAAACTTACTACGACTACGTTATCCATAAAACCTCACTGTCCTGTATTAGTCTCAGGGATTATTAGTTTAGTTTTCTTTCAAAGACTTAATTTACCTCTTCTCCCTGCATGGGGACTGACTTAATAGTTGTGAATCAATGCCATCTGAAATGGTACTCATTCTTTTCACCTCAGCCACTTCCTTCCTGTCCACTGTCAAAAGAGCTCCCTCTTTTCTCGATGGCTAACTGCTGCACTTAACTTTTAATTGTATTTTTTCTGGTTTCTATAGATTCTATACCTCTTCAGCCTGAGTCTTGGATCTGCAGCTCCCTGTGCTTGTCCTATCTGCAACTCCCTTTTATGGCCTCACTTTCTAACATTTTCTTGGAATCTTAATTTGTTTTTGCTGCTCTCCAAAACTTGTCAGAGATCACCTCTTAGTCACCACACGTAGGGCTATTTGTAATAGGTGTCATCTTCTGTAACATTTTACACCATTGTCACCTTCATCTCCTTTGACTTTCAGTGACAATATGTTTACTTATTTCTGTCTTATTGTATCTTTGTCTTTCAAGTATTTATTCTTAGCTTCTTTTTCTCTACAGTCCTGTCATGTCAGAGGGCCACCTCTCCCTCTCTAGCCCTGCTCTATCTGGAGCCCCAGTCCTGCACAGGTTCCAGTGACTGTCAACTAGACCTTTCTGCTCAGACATCCTAGAGTAAATACCTTGAACTCATTGTGTCCAAAATGACAGAGGGTGTCTTCCTACTGCAGCTGCTTGGACATTGCAGTTGGCACCTTACTAGTCCTTTCTCCATGTCTTTCCCTTACTAATCTTTTTATATAGCTGTTAGAATGGTCTTGATTCACAGGCCTGATAATGGTGATAAAGATGATAACTGGTTTTTACTGAACACTTATTATGGCCCCATTATATCTAAGTGTTTATATGCATTATCATCTTACTAAATAACAACCTGTAAATACTTTAATTATTCATATTTATAAATGAAACCAAGACCCAGAGAGTTAGGTGTCTTGTCAGGATTACACAGCTTTTTTTAAAAGATTTATTTATTTATTCATACAGGACTAGGGTACAGGCCAGAGACTCAGGGGGCGGTGAGAGGCTTCATCAGAGACAGAGTGGGGAACAGAAGAGGCAGATCGACGAAGTACACTGCTGAGGGGAGCAGGGGGAGGGCCAGGAGAGGTCTGCCACACCATGTGGTCACCTCCGGGCAGGCGGGGATCGAACTCATGCGGAAGTGGCTTTAGCTTCTCAGTGCTGTGCTTTAACTCGCTGCACCACTAGGGAGGGCCAGGATTACACAGCTTTTAAATGACAGCTGGAATTTTAACCCAGGTTGTCCAAAGCTTTGACTACGATAGAGTTCTCCCTCCCACATAAAATATCTTAAAAATCCTTTCAACTCAACTGGAGTACCTTTTACTTTTACATTCAGCACCCTGTTAGCTGACCCCATCTGTCATTATTTCTGTATGCCAAAAGGAATTCTTCTGATACCTATATGTTCATACCCCTCCCTGTAACATTATTCTTTTTTTTTTTTTTTCTGTCTGGAATGCTGTGTACCCTTTCCCTTCATTTAAACTTTAAATGGTTTATATCCCATTGGGTTGCTTGTAATTTCTATCTCCCCTGTAGCATGTTCTCTGAACTGCTTTTGCAGCACTTACACTTTCTGTTCCATGTTTTATCTCTCCTATTAGCCTGTAATCATCTTGACTACTGCACCTATGTAATATTTTTCTGTCCCATGTTCTCCAGTATTTTTTTTTGTTAAATTCTTTTTCGAGAGATATTTGTTCAGTAACTAACTGAAGGTTTAATTATTACTCATAGATCATTAGCCACAAGATTTTTGTATATGCGACTTTCTAGTGTGCCATTTTTCACTTCCATGTGGTTCAGTAGTTCATTAGACTAATGCACAAAACATACATGGGAGAACTGGAGAAAATGTTGATGACCTGAAGGGGGTTTTGAGGACAATTTTTGTGAGGTTAACATACTTTAATTTGAACATTTTCTGTGAGTCAAAGATACACATTTTTCAGACAGAAGCCTCCAGAATTTTATTTTGGTTTATTTATTTCTCTAAATTGGTGGTCTTAGGGTCACAGGAATGTGGTAAATACAATAAATGGTGAATTTGTTAAAGGGCCTTTGGAGTAATACCCACAATTTGGATTTTTGTTTATATTTTTAGAGGATAGTCTCAAGTCTATATAGGTTTGATTATCTAATTTCTTTGTTGCTTAATGGCTTTTAGAATGATATGGTAGGGCTTTTGTTTTTTGTGGGGTAAGAATAGGAGAAACGTATGTTTGGATATGTAGAATTTTTTTCAATTAATGCATGGGTGGTAGAATTTCTGAAGTACAATGTTATTCATATAAAATTTGAAAATATGTGTAAAATTTTATATCTTGTTAAAGGATATAAGCATAAGTAAGGGTGTGATGGTGTACAGGAGAGCCATAAACACCACAGATAGGGTGACGGTTACCTTTGGAGGCAAGATGGGTAGGGGTAAATGAGAGAGTGACATCAGGGGGACCTCTACTATATTTGTAATGTTTACTTTCTATGGTCAAGTGTGGACATTTGTTACATTCTTTGAGCCTACTTATTTGTCTGAAATGTTTTATAATTTTAAAAAATGAGGGCAAAAGGAATATATTTATGATGTTAAACTTCAATAAAAAGGTTTTTTTTTTAGTTCAAGCAACATAGCTTGTCCCACCCCTCACACCCAGCTCCCTTTTTTCACTCCCAGAAACAAACATTTTACTCATTTCTCTGAACCTTTCCAGAGAACTATATATAAACAAGAATATGTTCGTATGTAAATCCCTCCCCCACCTTTAAAAATAAAGTAACCAGCCTTTTATATAAACAGTACTCTTTATACAATTTGGTACTTCTTTTTAAAATTATCTTAGAGATTATTCAGAACACTAGATGTATAATTTTAATTAAAATACATTTATGCTTTTATTAGTAATAACTACCTTTATCTTTACCAGTTAGATTCTTGACTAGCCACTAATAAGTATAAATATTTGTTTTGTTCTGTGACATTTGCTTAACTAGCAAGAAACCTGAGTTTCTCCCTTATTCCTCTTTCCAAATATTACAGAGGCCTAGATGTGTAATCAGACAGGGTCCTCTGGTTTGTGGGTTATGTTCCCTCTGGGAGGTGGAGAGGGAGGACATTTTGGCTTTGGAGCCCAGTGCCTGGATTTGAATTCCCTTTTCTGTCACTTACTAGCATTGTGAACTCGGGTAAATTAACTCTGTGCTGATTCATTTCTTCATCGTAAAATACATTGAATATTTCCTTTTGCATAGAATTGTATTGAACATTAAATGAGTGTAAAGTCTGACATATAGGAAGTACTATCAAATGTTAGCTGTTTTATTACATTATCAATCACTCACACGGTCTGCTGCTGACACTGCTGTCAGTCTCCTTACAGATAACCCCACACTCTCATTACTGACTTCCTTACCTTGGTTTCTTTGTCTACTGAGGAAACTTCTTTTCAGGACCTGCTTTTTGAGAGGAGGTTCTCCCAACCCTTCCCACTTCCACCCAGTATTGCCCTTTATACCAAGGCTGCCTTCTCCCCTAAATCACAGGGCTGTCTGCACAGTGGGGGTGGATAGCTGCTTCCCATCTGCCTGGAACCACAGCTTTCTTAAATGTCATTGGTGGTTACACTAGACTTTACCAGAATTCTTTGCGTTCTTTCTTATGCATGCTTTTTTTTTTTTTTTCTCATGAGACTAGAGGCCCAAACCTATATTCTACTTCCTTCAGGAACCTGCATGCTTGCATATGTCGAATTCAGGATTTAGGTTCTTTCCCGTGAGACTCCTGGATGAGGCTGAACATCTATTTTGAGAGGTCCTGAACTTACGGTGTCTGCTAAGTTTCTGAGACATTTTATGATAGGATCCTGGTGTTGCCTGATTACACAGATGATCCTTAAGGATCACTGACAACCGAAGACCAGCCAGAACACTTTGTTATGGTATTAACATTTACAACTGACTTTAAATAGCACTATAAACTGCTTTTAATATAACTTAACTCATTTAACTCTGAGACAGTGATCAGTATCTCATTCCTGTTTTTCAAGTGAGGAACTGAAAAATAGAAACATTATGATTGTGCATAGAAAAAGTGATAGGCCCAGGCCCTCCCTGGTGGCACAACAGGTTAAAACAGAGCATTATGAAGCCAGCCTTCAGCATGAGTTCCATCTCTGGTTTGGGAGGTGATCCACATGTTGCAGCAGACCTCTCCTGTCTTGTCCACTGCTCCCCTCAAGCCTGTTCTGCTACCTACTCTGTCTCTGGTGAATCCTCTCACTGCCCCTGCACGTCTGGCCTATACACCAGTTCTGTATGCATAAATAAATAAGTCTTTAAAAAGAAAAAAAAAGAAGCAAAATCACCTTTGTAGTGAAGGAATTCTTCACACACACATACCTTCCCTTACATCGCTCGTATCAAACTATTTTCTTACTAGATGAAAGAAGGCCATATTTTACAGTTTAAGCAGAGTTGATTGTTAGTTGTCATAATGAGGGAAATTTAGTGCTAGGTGTGAGTAGTATTGAAAACTGTTGAATGATTTCATTTAAAACCTAGGTTTCCTTGTACTCTTTAGTACTGTATGAACTGTAGTCAGTTTTACAAAAACAAACAAAAAAAATGTAATGTGTTCTTTTTCTCAGAGCCACAATGGACACAGCTAGCCATAGCCTTGTTCTTCTGCAGCAGCTCAACATGCAACGAGAATTTGGTTTTCTGTGTGATTGCACGGTTGCTATTGGAGATGTTTACTTCAAAGCCCACAGAGCAGTGCTTGCTGCTTTTTCTAACTATTTTAAGATGATATTTATTCACCAAACAAGGTAAGGGTGTGCTTTTATAAATTAGAAGTATTTTTAATATTGTGTTATTAGCCTTATTGTAACACATCACTTTTGGGGTTCTTTGTAATGGAGTCATGGATAAAAAAAATTTTAATGATTTTTTTACACATGAATAGTTAAACTCAATGCATAGGATCCATGTTGGAAGAGAAAAATGAAAACAACATAACTAAAATTTATTGACTGCTAACCTATAGTAAGGCACTGAGTATTTACCTAATATACATTCTCCTATAATTCTATTTTAGAGAAAAGTGAATGTTAAGTAACTTACCCATTCAGGATTATACAGCTGATAATTTATATTCAGCTAATAAGTTCAAATGTAGATCTGTGTGATCTTAAAGGTCTGTGCTCTTAGTCACTATGTTGTTGGTTTCTCTTCTATGTACTTTCACAGCAGGTTTCAGTGCCATGATTCTACCCACCTCATATTCAGTGTTAGAGCTTTTTGTTTCAATTTTTTTTTTAATCTTTTGAATTTGGGCTACCCCAACATGGTAAGTGTATATAGAGAGGACAGAAAAGTGTTTAGATTCTGAGCTCATGGTAAGAATAGTTTTCATCCATCCTAGATTGAAAATGACAGAACACTTTTTTTTTTTTAGAGGTCTTACATAAAATACTTAAGGGCCAGCCTCCAATGTACATTTTTATTTAGTTGTTCTTTAATTCATATGTTTGTTATATACTTGCTTGTCAGCCTGTGTACAGGATCTCTATAACAGGTGTTATATTCCCTGCCCTCAAGAAATTCAAAGTCTAATACAGAGGTAATGCATGTAAAGAAAATAATTACAGTGTAATTGATCTCTGTGTGCCTCAGTTACCTTCTCTGTAAAGCATGGTACCCACCCCATTATATTGAGACAATTAGATGGATTAATATTAAAATGCTTAGATTAGAACTTTATGATGTCAACTGCTATTGTTAATAATTAATATGAGAAGTCTATGATAGAAGTGTTATAAAAGGTAGAGTGGAGTGTCAGTAGACCTATTGAAACAAATTTTATAGCAGCCCTAGATCTTGAAGGGCTTTTTCAGATAGGAAAATGCAAAAAGATACATTGTATGGGAAGGGATACAAAAATGCATGAAAACATGTAGATATGAACTAGACTGGTACATTTAGAAAATAGAGTAGTTAGAATGGTTGAATGTATGTCACAAGGGGACAGGCAGGAGGAGGGACAGGTCATGAGTAGCATTTTCTGCCAAAAGAGCTTCTTGTATAACCTCACTGTCAGTGTAGAAACTGGATTAGAAACATTACTTTCACATCAGTGTCATCCAAGAACTCAGAGCTGGTTTCCCCTCAAAGCACCTGTTATATACCAGTTACTATGCTAAAACTGTCCAGGAGGTACAAGAGTGGCAGATCTGCTATGTGGTATCTCTGTTGAGTGACTAAAAAAAACCCTCAGTTAACAGTTTTGTGCTGATAACATATATTAAAAAAATGCCTTGCTGTAGGCATGAAAGTGGGTGGGTCAGAGCTAAGAGTAGAACTCAAGAAGGAATCCTGAAATATCAGGACTAAAGAAATGGATTGCCAGTATGCTGCCACCACTTCATTGCTGATGAATTGACACATATTTCTACCTCAGGAAAGGTAGATCCATTGACTGATTCCATTATTTTTTAACATCCAGCACTTTCTCAGGTAGTCTTAATCCTGATTTTATGGAGTGTTTCCTGACTTCTTGTTAACAATAGTATCTTCCATCTATCATCTGAATTCTAAATTCATATGTAAAAATTGGGCTTTGGGTTATCTTAAACTTTTCAAAATGCTTGTATTCATCTGTGATTTAAAGAGTAGATATTTGAATATAGTTTGGAAGCCAAAATAAGGTTACCATAATTTAAATTCTAAGTATTAATCAATTTCAGTGTATCCTTTACATTTTCTTAATATTTCTTATTGTGTCAAAATAATTTCTTATTATGTCAGAATAAATAAAATTTTCTATTTTAATCATTTTTAATTGTATAGCTCAGTGGTGTTAATTATAATCATAATGCCATGCAGTTATTACAATTGTATATTTCTTAAACTTTTCATTACTTCAAACATAAACTGTACCCATTATTTTTGTCCCCCAAGTTCCTGTTTACTTCTGATTTGCTTTCTGTCTCTGTGAAATTTACCTGTTCTAGATATTGCTTGTAAGTGGCATTACAAAAATTTGTCTTTTTGTATCTGGCTTATTCCACTAAGCATAATGTTTTTTTTTTTTTCAAGACTCATCCATGTTGTAGCATGTGTCAGAATTTCCTTCCCTTTTTTGCTGAATAATACATCATTGTATGTATATGCCACATTTCATTTATACATCATCTATTAATTGATAATTGATTGTTTCCACCTTCTGGCTGATGTAATGGACATTGGTGTACAGATATTTTGTTTTCAGTTCTTTTCATCAATATATGCGGTAGACTATTAAGCTCCTTAAGAACAGGGTACCTATTCATTATTTTTCTACCCGTGGCATCTAGTATAGTACATATAATTTAGGAGACATTGAACTAATCTGAATGCCTGTATTCCCTAACTCTAGGCAGTAGATTGAATGAAGACTTGTTGCTGGATCACAAAAATGGTATACAATGAAAGTTCAAGCTTTAGTTGCTTTCTTTCATCAAGGCAGGTAGCTACGTTTGAACCTCTTAGTAAGAAATTGTTTTAACCTAAGACCATGCTTTACCTAAAAGACCAAATGGGTTGTTTCATTTTGTGTGGGTCTTTTCTTTTTATTTAACAGTGAATGCATAAAAATACAACCAACTGACATCCAACCTGATATATTCAGCTATTTGTTGCACATTATGTATACGGGGAAAGGGCCAAAACAGATTGTGGATCATAGTCGTTTGGAGGAAGGGATTCGATTTCTTCATGCTGACTACCTTTCTCACATTGCAACTGAAATGAACCAAGTGTTTTCACCAGAGACTGTGCAGTCCTCAAATTTGTATGGGATTCAGATCTCAACAACCCAGAAAACGGCTGTCAAGCAAGGACTGGAGGTCAAAGAAGCTCCTTCTAGTAACAGTGGAAACAGAGCTGCTGTTCAGAGTGAGCATCCCCAGTTGCAGCTTTCCCTTGCAATTGGGCTGGATGATGGCGCTACAGACCAGCAGAGGGCCCATCCTGCCACCCAGGCCTTGGAGGAGCACCCAAAGCCCCCAGTGTCTATCAAGCAGGAAAGATCTGACCCAGAATCTGTCATCTCTCAGAGCCACCCTTCACCTTCATCAGAAGTGACAGGTTCTACTTTTACGGAAAGCAGCATTAAAATACACTTATGCCATTACTGTGGGGAACGTTTTGATTCCCGTAACAACCTAAGACAACATCTCCATACACATGTGTCTGGATCCCTCCCATTTGGTGTGCCTGCTTCCATCTTGGAAAGTAACGACCTTGGTGAAGTGCATCCACTTAATGAAAACAGTGAGGCTCTTGAATGCCGCAGGCTCAGCTCTTTTATTGTCAAGGAGAATGAACAGCCACCTGACCACTCAAACCGGGGCGCCACAGAACCTTTGCAGATAAGTCAAGTATCTTTGATCTCCAAAGACACTGAGCCAGTAGAATTAAACTGTAATTTTTCTTTTTCAAGGAAAAGAAAAATCAGCTGTACCATTTGTGGTCATAAATTTCTTCGAAAGAGCCAATTGCTAGAACACATGTATACACACAAAGGTAAATCTTACAAATATAATCGATACCAAAGGTTTGGTAATGCATTAGCACAGAGATTTCAACCATATTGTGACAGCTGGTCTGATATCCCCCTAAAAAGTACTCGTTTGTCACAAGAACATTTAGACTCATCTTGTGCCTTAGAGTCAGAACTCCCACAAGAAAATGTGGACACTATCCTAGTTGAATAGCAGTTTTTCCTTCAGAATTTGCATATCAACTCTGAGATAGAAAATTCACCTGTATATTTTCATTTGTAAATTATTTTCCTCCCCACATTTATTGGCTTTTATTATCCATAGTGTTACGGATGTACATATTAGGTCTTAACTATAAAATATATAAATATATGTCTGTTAAAATGAACTTTCAGTTGGAGTCATGAATGTTCCCTAAAGTTGTAACTTAGAAATCAGAAATCAGTGTAGAAATATGGAACTTTAGAGTGAATAGTTGATAGGATTTCTAAGTTTCTCCAGGTTGAATATCAGTAAAATTAAATTGAATATAAAATAAATGAAATCTTTTAAAAAAATATTTTGGCTAACTGTTCACATGAATTGAGCCCTTCTGAGGATTATTTAAAAATACTTTCTGGCACATAGGAAATCAATAGTTGTTTTAATGTATAAATACAGTTATAATGTATAAAATTTTTGTGTTAAGATCTGGCTATACCAAATCATGCATAGTTTTAAAATTTCTTACTAGGTCTACAATATCTTAAATGGCTTTTATTTATTTTTTAATTTTGAACAACCTCATTTTTAGTAAAGACTATTTAAGTTAAAAGAGATAAAGGGAGTATAATCAGACAAAAAAAATCTTAGATATGTACCCATAGATAAGCAGACAGAGATTCATATAGCTCCGTGTTGTCTAATGTCCCAGTGTTATTACCTTAATCGGGAGTGTTTTTTTGAAAGATTTGAGATTAGATTTTTTTTTTTTTTAAGATTTATTTATTTGTGCATACAGAACTGGAGTACAGGCCAGAGGCTCAGGGGCGGCGAGAGGCTTCACCAGAGACAGAGTGGGGAGCAGAACAGGCAGATCGACGAAGCACACTGCTGAGGGGAGCAGCGGGCTGCCACGCCATGTGGTCACCCTCGGGCAGGCGGGAATCGAACTCATGCGGAACTGGCATAAGCCTCCTAGTGCTGTGCTTTAACCCGCTGCGCCACCAGGGAGGGCCGAGATTAGATTATTTTTATGACCAAAGTTTACATGAGTTTAAAGAAGAAAATAATAAAATACAAATTCTCTTTCTACCCTTTGTGTTGGAGGATTTTCTAGGCTTTCTGAGTTGATATTTTCTAACAATCATTTGAAAATAATTTTTTAGTGGCACAGGTTTCACTTTTTTCTGGTCTTAAAACTAGCACAGTACATGTAATATGTGTTCTAGAACTGTGTTTAAAGTCCCTAATTTGAAAAAAGTAAGATAAAGTCCCTCACTTGCTCTCTGTAAGCAAACTTAACTTCCTCTTGTTAGTAAAATTTACAAAGCTAAAACTCCAGGAAAATTAAAATTAATATATTAAATGGTAATTTTCTTATTCTGTATAGGTGGGAGGGAAATAGCTGGTCAGACTTTATCACAAAAGACAGATCTGAATTATTTCTGAAATGTCTCAATTTTAAACAGTAGGCAGTAAAAAATAAAAGAAATTTCAAACAGCCTAATTTTTTTTATGCTTACCCTGTTAGATTCTATGCCTCATGGACATTTTAATAAAGCTAATAAATTTGGTTTGTGAGGCTTCGAACTTAACTACATATAAAACTCTGTGAGCTCTCTCCTGACAGTACATTTTTGAAGAATTTCCTGATAGTACCAACATTCCTCAACAGCACCAGAATTTATTTGGGAGGGAGCTCAAAGAGTGATTGAGCTCTAAGAAGAAAAATGTTTTCTTTGGGGAAGTAGTGAATGTAGGTAAATTATGAAAGGATAAGTTCTTGAGGAACCAAATGAAGAAAACCAATGGGCATTATCTAAGGCATTTCAATTTCTGCCTTAGAGGAGAGAATGAAGCCTCTGGGTGAGGAAGGTCAAGATTGATATGTGTGAGAACAAATCTAAGTAGCCTTTCATACAAGATCAATTGTATTAGGAGTGGTTAGACAACCTGTATTGCTCTTTGAAATGGAGCTTCATCTAATCTTAAATTGAAATATAAGCAATTACTCTCAAACTCAGTGCCCTCAAGGCTTTATCTCATAATATGAAAATATTCACATTGATTTTATGTATTTTAAGTTTTTGAGATACATTCCCTGGCCTGTTCAAGTAAAATTTTATTTTACTCATTAAGATAATTTTTCTGATTCTTCTTCTCTATGTTCTTTCCCATTTGGCTAATCACTAACTTTGGCACAAGAAGTACATTTCCTGTAGGGTAGGTTTAGGGGTGCATATGAGCTGTGAGTTAGGAAAGCAGTTCAGGATTTTGCTTGTGGCTGATTGACATGATAGGCACATTCATTTAAATCAGACATATATCTGGGTAAGTGCTAAAGAAAAATTGGTTATTATAACTCCTTTTAATGTTATGAATTCAAAACATGTTTTTCTTTAGGCTTCATAAAATTGTTACTTGATTTTATAGAACAAAATCCCCAAAGCTGGATTCCAGAGAACCAATGAACAGTGCTAGGGACTGATCCTAGTTTTTTGGGTTTTTTTTGGTTTTTTTTTTGCCTCCTTCATTCATGTAGCAGGAGTATTTTATTTTATTATTTTAAAATTTTTATTTATTTATTTATGCATACAGAACTGGGGTAAAGGCCAGAGGTGCAGGGGCGATAAGAGGGATTCATCAGAGATAGAGTGGGGAGCAGAACAGGCAGATCAACGAAGTACATTGCTGAGGGGAGCAGCTGGCCAGACAGGAGAGGTCTGCTGGGCCATGTGGAGCACCTCTGGGGTGGGGGATGGAACTTGCACTGAAGTGGCTGCTGCTAGCTTGCAGTGCTGCATCCAACCTGTTGAATCAGCAAGGGCCCAGCAGGAGTATTTTAAAAAGAGCAGTTATATGACTAACACTGTGTCCTAAGGTTATTTTTTTTTTAAGATATGATTCCTAAGAAAATCTACTTGTTATAAAAATGTACTTCCAGTTAAACCTTTTTATGATTACCAAACTCTTAAAACTGGAATTGCTATCTACACCTTAACCAGTGTATCAGGCAAATACTAAACAGACATTTTCCTCTCGGAACAATTTAGAATCTTATTCTTGGAGAAAAGCGAAGTATTTTAATTGTTGTCCCTTTTAGCATATTGCCAGAACTCAGTATCTGACAAGGGCAGTCTGCCTTACCAAAAAACCCAAAATTTCTTCATTTCTAACTTTTGAGGTTATTGTTTCTCACTCACACTTTGTGATTTCCCATACATAAAGTGGATATAAGGAATTCCACAGGGCTGTTATGAAAATTTGCATTAAAATTATGTTAAGTTCTCACAGTTTCATTGATTGAAAACCAATAATACAAAGAAAGCTTATTTTTTTCTGTAGCTAAACTCTATAAATTTCTGTGTTCTAATCTATTAATTTTAGAATGTCTTAGAAGTCATATACTATTTAATATGTAATAATTATTAGAAAAAACTTTTTTTAAACAAATACTGACCAAACGACTTGCTAGGATTTATTCTATAGTTTAATCAGTATTTCTCTCTAACCTTCAGCAAGGAGTCCATTAGTTCTTTGTCAATATTGGAATAAAACCTTCCAGTTAGAGCTTTGTTGAAAGTTCTTCAATCTTTCACATATAGGAAAAGGAATAAAAGCAGTGGAGAATATACAGTTTTCATTTATTTCATGTAAGTCATATACAAATAGATGGGGACAAGAAATGGAGCAGGGATAATATTTTATTAAAATAGTATTAGAAAGGCTTCACTTAAAACTAAAGAAATACATATTAATCATGGAAAAAATAGTCTTAAAATACATAATTCCATTAACATTTATTTGCACAGAGAAATTCTGTTGTTACTCAGCTCCTTGACAGGTATCTATGTTTTGTAGGGAGGTAAAAATAGACACTGTGAAGAATTTTCATGATGTAACTCGTCTTTAAATTAAATGTAGCTTTATGGTATTTTTATTATAATTAAATTTTTTTAATATTTTTTTTTACAAAAGTTTATTTTTACATCATTTTGTACATTTTTTTCCCATCACCAAGTCACCCGTGTGCCATTCACCATAATCCCGTACATATTATAATTTTTAATTTCCTAAGAGTAAAATCTGTAAATGAGTCTTCTCTGCTGTACTTCTGTGTTTGTATGGTTCAACTTTTTGAAAACTGGTAAGAGTCCACAATCCCAAGCCTGTGTGTCCTAAGCACAAGGAACTAACAAACTATGGTTTTTGCCTTCAAAATCTAGAAGAACCCGTTGCATTTCCCACTATGTATCTGCACCACACCTGATTACTTAGTAAATATTACTCCAGTGTAATTAACATTCTCAGCAACACTTCTGTTTTGTGTCCAATAAAGTCATTTAGCTAGAGTAGATCACATGTCAACTTAAATACTTAAAAATGAAAATTTCAAAAACTTGTACACTGAAGAAATAAAAAGGCACACTGAAGAATCTCCAAAGTACAAGTAACACATCAAATACAGGAGACTGAAATCAATAATTTAAATTTTCATTCTGATGTACTTTGATTTTGCTTTGAAACATTCTTTTAGAAAGTTTTTGTACCTTCTATTTCAAGTAAAGAGGTTTTTTTTTGTATTTTATCATGAAAAATAAATTAATGTGACTTGATCATCAACTAAATCTTTTTATGAGCTCAGCTTGTAAAATGTGTTCTTGTTTTATAGCAGTGTCTACTAAATGTTGTCTTTCTAGAATTGAGGTATGTAGTCTCTGGGGCCAGATAATAACATTTTGGATGTGTGATGCAAAAATTCATTAGTGAGACAATTCTTACCAACCAGAAACTATGTTAATAGGCATTGATTTGCCAGTCAGATGTTTTCCAGTTACCATCTCTGGGAAGAAAGATAAAAATATAGCCATTTCTAGAATTTTGTTGCTTTGCTCCTTTGTTCTCTATTTACTCTGTTCTATCTCCTCCAGACAATCTGTGACACTGGTTCTCAAAGTATATTACTCGTGGTTCCTGAGAAACCACCAAATGGATCTGTGCTTCTCTATCTATAGCTTTATTATCTCTCTGGTTGATGAGAGGTATTTATTGTAAGGAATTGGCTCACACAGTTATGAAGGTTTCAAGCCCCAAGATCTGTATTAAGCAGCCAATGTTGCAGTCCATATCCAAAAGCGACAGGCTCAGGACCCATAAAAGTAAGAAGAGACCCATGACCCAGATCATGACCCCTTATTTAGTCTTTTCAGGCTTTCAACTGATTAGCTAAGGTTCACCCACGTTGGGTAGGGCAATCTGCTTTACCCAGTCTAGCAATTCAAGTGTTAATCTCATCCAAAACACCCTTACAGACATACCCAGAATGTTTGAACAAAATATCTTGATACCCTGTAGCCTAAGCAAGTTGACACAAAGTTAACTATCACACAGGGTGACCACAGGGACATT